TGTGTGCCCGGAAACAAATATCTAGAAATTGCACACAGAGGCTTAGTCCGTATGTAATTTCCAAGAGGGTAAAAGATCCAAGGAGAGCTCTATGTCAGAAACAGAGCAAAATTATTAATTAATGAATATGAAACACTTAAAATACCATAGGTAATAATCTTTATTTCATGAAAGCTATAAAAATAGCCTTCAATCATTCAGACCTACAAACCAAATATAAAAATACTCTATCGTATTTCAAGATATCTTGTGCAATTTTGACAAATATATCTGTTAAAATGAGATATCAGATACTATTTAAATTTTGCGTAAACTTTGACAATTTATGCATGGTATATATATATATATATATATATATATATATATATATATATATATATATAATAATATTAGTGGTCACGGCTGTCAGACAATATATGCGATCCCATCAAACGAATTGAATGTCAAAATGGAAAATAAAATATATATCCAGGAGGATAGAATTTAGGTAGAGCTTAATGTTCATGACAAAGCAAGAATATAATATAAAGGCTCAAACACTAGTATTGCATGGTTATAATTTATTCTTGCATTGGAATCGTAATCACTATCCAATTCATCACGCCTACAAATTCAAAATCCCAATATATATATATATATATATGTGTGTGTGTGTGTGTGTGTGTGTGTGTGTGTCGATGTGAAGATATGAGAATTGCATGGTACACCCCTGGATATTGTGTGAGAAAAACATGCTTCAACAACAGCGAATTGTTAGGCACTATATCAGTTTTGTGTGCCCGGAAACAAATATCTAGAAATTGCACACAGAGGCTTAGTCCGTATGTAATTTCCAAGAGGGTAAAAGATCCAAGGAGAGCACTATGTCAGAAACAGAGCAAAATTATTAATTAATGAATATGAAACACTTAAAATACCATAGGTATTAATCTTTATTTCATGAAAGCTATAAAAATAGCCTTCAATCATTCAGACCTACAAACCAAATATAAAAAAAATACTCCTATCGTATTTCAAGATATCTTGTGCAATTTTGACAAATATATCTGTTAAAATGAGATGTCAGATACTATTTGAAATTTTGCGTAACTTAGACAATTTATGCATGGTATATATATATATATATATATATATATATATATATATATATATATATATATATATATATATATATATATAATATTAGTGGTCACGGCTGTCAGACAATATATGCGATCCCATCAAACGAATTGAATGTCAAAATGGAAAATAACGCTGTTACGTGTTTCGCTCTAATAAATGATATCTTCAGATTAAAAATGCGTTTTTTTATCGATTAAATCTTATATATGTAAGGTAGTTCTGATTGATGTAAATGATGATTACAATTCTTCTTTTATACTTCTAGTTCATCCAAATACAATGCCCAATTGTCACTCACAGTAAAGGTCGACTCAGTGAGATTGTTTTAATAAAGGGAAAGGAGAAAGTAAAAAGTGCTCATTATGAGAACGTGTAGGATCGATATCGATTGACCCTGGTCCTGAAGAAACCAATACAGTCAGGAAAGCATCTGCTTGCTACTTTGTTCCAATATATATATATATATATATATATATATATATATATATATATATATATATGTGTGTGTGTGTGTGTGTGTGTGTGTGTGTGTGCATATATATATATATATATATATATTCTACATTCTTATCATCACTTGATAAGACACTGGGGTGTTGAAACACAATGGCTATATTTTGTAGTGATTTTATAACATATCATATTTATGTTATAATTTTATATAAATATATATATATATATATATATATTAGGTATATGAAAAAAACAGAAAAAACGTTGCTTATGAATACGATAAATTTTTTTAAATGAATAATCTTCCTTGAAGCTTTTATATTCGTTTTAATTTCAAGGTAATAGATTTAATATTTCCCGTGTACAAGTCCCTGGGCCCAGTGGAGGTAGAGTGTTACGTTAAGAGGCAGATAGCAGGGGAAGATATCGATTAATGTTAGACTTGAACAGGTTAAGATTGTAGTGATCGGGGAAACATCATCTTTGGATTCTGTTCCACGGAGCAATGGTTCGCGAGAATAAGCTATTAATCCTTACAGATGGAATACGGAAGGAATGTGGATGGTTTGCTACAATGTAAGTGGAATAGCAGATTCTGGCGGAACGGAGGAATGTAGATTCCATAGAAGTAGCGATAGAGCAGTGAGGGGCTTGCCATATCCCGCCTGTGAAAGAAAGGTTGGAGGGTGGAAAATAATTTGTCACCCATAAAGACATCGGAGACGCTTTTGAACTCTATGGAAAATGAGAAGTGGGCAGCTCCCGCACAAATATGGTAACAGTACTCTATTTTCGGCCTGATCTGGCTCTTGTAAAGGTAGATGATAGCATGAGGAGTTAGGGGCTAACTGGAGCGGTACAGGGAGCTGACAATCTTTCCTGTATCTTTAGCGATGGATCTTATGTACGAGTACCACTGGAGGTCAGGTGTGAGTTTAAGGACCCAAAATTCTCTCAAGTCATGGAGCCTCCTGGAGGGGAAATCCATTCATCGCGACTAGTGGTAGTTCGTGGTCCGAAGTTTTCCCCCACTGAGAAGTTAGTGCTAGATCAGATGAGAGAATCAGATGAAAATCTTTGATCATCAAGAGTTTTAGAGATGCACCCGTATGTTGTCGTATCATCAGCATAGATATTTACAAATGATTTGAGTATTTGTCTATATTTCTGAGATGAGGTATTATGTACACTATTTACATTATTCGGATGATTACAACGTTTCCTCAAGGACACATGGCACAGAGGATAAAGGCGTTGATTAAATCCAGTGACAGGACCCAAAGTGTGTGAGTTCAATACCCGGTTAAGGCAGTGGTGAACTTGGAAAGGGGAATTAACAGGCGATAACTGATAAATGACATCCATTAAAAACATGGCACGTGGAACTAGAACAGTCTACCCCAGTGAGCGAAATAAAGGGTTCAGTTCGACATTCCAACCACCTGAAGAAGGCCGGAGCGTACAACGGCTGAAACGTTGTAATAAATATGGCGACAAAGATGAGGACAATAGTCCGAATAATGTAAATAGTAATTTGAGTATATTCTTAGGCAGATCATTTATGCAAATCAAAAAGAGGGCTGGTTCAGGAAGTGACCCCTGGGGGACGCCTGTATTGATCACCAAGGCCCCTGAGCAATGACCGTTAATAACTTTATTCAGGGAACTATCTGTTAGGAAGGACTTTACTTAAACCATTAATAATGCTGGCGGAGGAAACTTAAAGTTTAAGCCCCTGTAAACTAGTTATGAATTTCCGTGTTTTAAAATTGATTCTGTTTTCAAATCCAACTAAGTTATTTGGTGTAATAATAAAAAAGAAAAAAAACATTTTGAAGATTTCTTCATGTTTTATTTGTGTCCGCCAATAAAAAGATATTATTTCTATACTAAATTAGTTTTTGGTAGCTTTTCTGTTGTGTTCTCCAGGCCAATTTACTTCATTACGACTTTTGAACAGAAATGTTGTTCTTAATCAATAACATAATCATTATTATTGCAATCAATTCATTATTCAGGGTATATTTGAAGAAACTTTCTACAGTCATAAATCCAACATAAAAATGGATTTTTCAGCACAAAATTTTGTAAGAAATACAATATAAAACTGGTCATTGAAGCCACTAAATCCAATTTTCTTGGAGTCAGTTTAAACTGACACCTAAAATTCCAATTTCCTTATTTCAAGTATAAACTTTTCTATGATATTTAAATGAGATGTTCATTTTTCATAATTATCAGTTCAAACTGACGTCATAAAGATATGAATTAGTCCTTTTTGGCAGCTTATTTCCAGCAAGATGTGAGCAGTTTAGAGATATCTTTTGTCTCATTGTGCAAATAATTTCTTTAGAAAAAAAAATTGAATAAATAACTAATTACGTATATAAAAAAAAACAGAAAAAACGTTGCCTATGAATACGATGAATTTTTAAAAATGAAAAATAAGAAACAATGTAAGTTTGAAAAAATAATATGCGGGAATTGCTTAATTGGCATGTAGACAAATTCATAAATAAATTCTTAAAGTGTTTCAGTAGAAAATTCTGAAGACAGGGAACGTCGAGCACTGAAATAAAGCTAATTCTAATCACTGTAAAAAGTATTTGAAGACGGATTTAACTTCTTGAAGCAGCAATTGAGTTTTATTTACAGGTCCAGCTTAATATGCAATGAAAATCAGAGAAAATTCGGAAAAAGCTATCGCAAGTGAAAGGAAACTAGAATGAAAGAAAAACTAATATCTGTACAGTCGATATTGAGTAAATATTTTCAAAAGAAACATTTTTATCCGTTATATCTTGAGAAGAGGTAAAAACTTATAACTGGACATAATGGCATTAAAACGATTCTTTAGCCCTGAAACGTAATCCTTCTTACACAAAGGTAAATCATATGAAATAGAAATATTCTATGCTGTCTATTAAATATTTCTTGATTCCCGTGTTTATTGCTCTTTCAGTAACGCCGGCAATGAATTTTTTTCATCATCATCATCATCATGACTTTGAACAGCCATACGGTCACAGCTAGCAGAGCACTTGACCGGTTCCTTCCACATATCTGGTTAGAAAGACGGAGAAATATTTATTCATACGTAGCGAGTCTTGGGTTAAATAGACCTGACGAAGCCCATCTTTTTCGAAGTCTATTTTTTCCAACTTGAAGGTTAACTTTGTTCACTGACAGGTAGTTGTCGTTGATTCTGTCAGGCATTGGCCGTTGAATTTCGGAAACCCTCCGCCCAGCAGTGCCGTGTCAGGGGTGCATGCATAGCTATTCAATCTACCTCATTGTGCAAGATGGATGATTTCTCTACAAAACGACTGATCTCTCAAGTCTTGGTTTTAATCTTGTCGGGAGTCTAGCCATCCTCCCCACTAGATAAGTCTGGTGTCGAAACCGGTTTAGTCACTGATCTTTACCTTATTAAACAAAAAGAATATATATAGATAGATATATAGATAGATAGATAGATAGATAGATAGATAGATATACTTGCTTGGAGAAATATCCGAGGAAAATTACTACAAAAACTAAAATATATATTTTGTGGTAAAATCATTCGATAAAATTACGTTTTCAAAACACACACACACATATATATATATATATATATATAAAGTTCTAGCCTGTGTCTGTTTGCTTGTCTGCTATCGAACTCCTTCTAGGGTTTTGGAAATAGACCCACATAACCGTATATATTCTGAAACTATATTACCCAGGGTTTTTGGATAAGCATATTTCCTTTTGATCAATGATGTCTCCGCGGAGGGAGGAGCATAAATTCCCACTGAAATTTTCCTTTGATATAATTTAAATTTGAAAAGGGATGACTCCTAGGGTACTTAATAAGTATATATCATTTTGATCAGAGGGCACACCCACCCGCTTAATTTAAATTAATTAAATCTAAATTTGAACTCCTATCCAAAATATACTTACCAAAAAAGTCAGAAGATGTAGGTTACATTAGCAGGATTATTTTGATCTAAAGGTTTCCGGGGGGGGGGGGGCAGAAAACTCCACACTGAAGTTTTTTTCCCTCTTTGATTTAAATTAAATTTAAACTTGAACAAAGGAAATGATTCTTAGTGTACTTGGATAAGTATATTTCATTTTGATCAAAGGGGGTCCCCGATAGGTACAACCCCGCCACTGAAGTTTTTCTCTTTGACTTAAATTATATTTAAATTTGAACCAGAGTTTAACTCCTATCCAAAAAAATATAGAAGAAGAAAGCCATAAGATGGTGATCACATCGGCAAGATCAAAATGAGACAATATAAACCGTGAATAGTGACTTACAATATATATATATATGTTGCGACAATTTAGCCGTTGATCAATCAATGTTGAAATTTGCTCTTCAATTCATTCAATAAATTATTGCATCAAATGCATATCAAAGGGGTCAGTTCAAGCAGTTTTGCACCCCCGCTATAATTGATTTCTCTTTGATTTAAATTAAATTTAAATTTGAACAATGGAATGACTTACATCCAAAGTATAGAAGGAGAAATCCAGAAGATGGAGGTCACATTGGTAAGTAATATGGAAATGCATCATTTTTATCCACAGATCAAAACAATGATTTAAAACGGTTATAATCTATCATCATTTTCTTGCAAAAAAATGTGTAACACGCAGCAACGCGCGGGTAATTAGGCTAGTATATATATATATATATATATATATATTTAATAGATTTTTATTATTTAGAAACTTAATAGTGTGTAGTTTTTCATGTAGGCATAAAGGGCATGGGTCATCCCAAGTTTTACAAGTTCTAGTTTTGTTTATAATTTTCCATTTTACTTTTGGTGTTTTATTCATTTCCTTCAAATGCCAAAAATATTTAGAGATGTCTGATTTCTTTTATTTATATTGTTGAAGGAGCACTTATGCTGCCTCCATCTGGTTTTAAATTCATTCTTCGTAGACCCAATGTATATCATTAGTATTAGGACTCTCAATGGATAAGATAGTACATTGCTATACCACAGATTTTACGCGGCATTTATTTTCCAATGGGCAGTCTTCTGGGTTTCTACAATCACATAAATTTTCACTATTTTTGTCTAATTTCAGTGTATGGTTTTTATTAATACTATTCTGTCATGGGGGGTTTATTCAGGATTTTATTACTGTGTTTTTTTATTATACTTTCTAGATTTTCAGTGCAGCTGTAACTTAATTTTAGGGTGTTTTTATTAAATATTTTACTAAGTCTACAATTAGTTGGAAAGTGTTTTTCACTTAAAGCTAGGAATTTCTGTCCTAGCTTAATACTAACCATTTGGTTGAACGGAGGGAGATACCAAATGGTTTTATTTTCCTGTTTTTTTCTGGTTAGTACAATTGTTCCTATAATTGATGTTACCTTCTTAAATTAGACTTGTATCCTGATTCATCAAAAACGGCAACACCCTTTTCAAATTTTACAACCCCTTTCCCCCTTCAACATAGACTATATAATATTATTTAACTTTAAAAAAAAGTAAATCATTTTTTCGAAAGTTATTCAACATCGCTTGAGAATGAAACAAAAACTTTCATTTTAAGTTTAATTTTTAAGTTTAGTTTTTATTTCCGAAATGGATGATTTCTGTGTGGCGATGAATACATATATTTAAATAATAATAATATTATATATATATATATATATATATATATATACTTTATTACGGGATATTACATTAGATCATATGTAAAGCACTACATAAATGCACTCATATTTCGATGTATATCTATGCATCTCATCGGGCAGTATTAAATGAGAATCTCATTTAATACCGCCTGATGAGATGCGATGGTATGCATCGAGACATAAGTGCATTTATGTAGCGCTTTACACATATACTAATGTACTAATGTCATATCCTGTAAAAAGAATATATCTCTACTATTGTATTGAGCGCTATTTTAAATTAATGTTATGGACGTTTGAATATATTTGATTCGTTCTCATTTCAATGGGATATATATATATATATATATATATATATATATATATATATATGAATATATAGTTATGATCAAATACATAGCAAATATGGATTGAAATCTGATAGAATAAGATGAATAACCGTTTCCTATCCTATTTATTCTTTATGATTTTTTTTTTTAAATTCAGACGACATCCATTCAACTGATGTCAGGTTTCATTGTAAAATACATCCCTACCCCTTACCAAATTGTAGCTAATAACTGATACAATGAAACTGACATAAGGAAAATCTAGACATCCCTTGTTCAATTCAAGTAGAATATTCTGTAACCATGGAAACGTGATTTTAGCTGTGTCTATAAAACCCGGAAATTTTAAAAGTTACTCCAAAATTCGCTTGAAGATGAAATGGAACTAATGCTTTTAATTTAATTGCAAAATTAAATTGGGGTTTTAGCTTCTATTTTTGAAACATGGTTGGAACTGTGTAGCGAAAAAAAAAAATCATATTTTAATATATATATATATATATATATATATATATATATATATATATATATATATATATATTTTTTATTAAAAATATTTTGCATTGCGACATGGAAATCTCTGTTTCGAGACTTAAGATTTTTTATTTTGTCATCTGGCAATGTTCTTTAACTTTATTATTAAAATGATTTACTTTTGAGGATAGAAAACAATATGTTTGCTTATTAAAAATGGAGGCGGAAAGGATCCAGATTTTAAAATCCTGTGGGTATGTCTCTGTTTAACAAAGAATGTCAAAGCTAAATCAGAAAAGTTATAAATATAGGTTTAATGTTGGGTGTGGGCGTGGAATTCACTTATATATAAAACGGGGAACTGTCATATTACGAGTTGACAACTTCCAATTAAGTGTATCCATTTTACGAAAAATAATCTTTTATATAATATATATATATATATATATATATATATATATATATATATATATATATATATATCTAACAATAGGTTAATTTTTGTTTCTTAAAAATTATTTTTACAAATTTTTTTAGATATGTCTTTAAGGGGCCTCTGGTATGATTGAATCATGTTTTATATAATTTTGAACCTAAAATACAATTCTTATTTTAAATACATGTCATTTTTAAAATTAAAAATGAAGGAATTAAATCAATATTATATGTACCACTATAATAAAATAATGGATAATTAATTTTGATACATAGATTTTTTATGAAAATTCATTAACTATATTTTAACGTGATTATTTTATAATGTCTACTTCATTTCGCTGACTTAATAGATCAATATTTTCAGGAAACTTAATTATATGTAGTTTTTCATGCAGAGATAGGAGGCATGGATCATCTAAGAACTTCCCAATTCTCGTTTTTTTTCGTTTATACATATATTTATCCAGTCTACAACTTATATATATATATATATATATATACATTGCATCTAGCATGAAACAGACTGTCGCCTATATTTATATTACAGACATATATCTGTTCATTTACATATCTATAATAAAAAAAATATATACATATGCACACATACACATATATACACACACCTTAAACTTAAACTTTAACGTCTACTAAGAATAAATCCTCGGGTTTTCTTCATCCAAACCCCTACGCCACCATTATATGGTCATGATTTTGAATTTTTCCTTTTCTTTTTTTTTCTTTCTCCTTCTACCTTAATACAACATCTGTATATCTTGAATTTAACCTGGAGTATTTTTTACATTTATATTTGGTTTGCAGGTCTGAATGATTGAAGGCTATTTTTATAGCTTTCATGAAATAAAGATTATTACCTATGGTATTTTAAGTGTTTGATATTCATTAATTAATAATTTTGCTCTGTTTCTGACATAGAGCTCTAATGGATCTTTACCCTCTTTGAAATTACATACGGATAAGCCTCTGTGTGCAAATTTCTAGATATTTGTTTTCATAACACAAAACTGATATAGTGCCTAGCAATTCGCTGTTGTTGAAGCAATATCCAGGGGTGTACCATGCAATTCTCATATCTTCACATCGACACACACACACACATATATATATATATATATATATGGATTTTGAATTTGTAGGCGTGATGAATTGGATAGTGATTACGATTCCAATGCAAGAATAAATTATAACCATGGAATACTAGTGTTTGAGCCTTTTATATTATATTCTTGCTTTGTCATGAACATTAAGCTCTACCTAAATTCTATCCTCCTGGAGATATATATATATATATATATATATATACATATATATTGTCATGGATAAATTGTCGTCTAAATTACGCAAAAGTTCAAATAGTATCTGACATCTCATTTTAACAGATATATTTGTCAAAATTGCACAAGATATCTTGAAATACGATAGGAGTAAATTTATTCAATAAAATCGCCTTTGGCTTCAACAACGGTCTTTAGGCGACTTCAGAATCTACTGCAACTCTTTTGAACGGTCTCCTTGTTTAAAGTGATGAATGCTACCATAATCCTTGCTGTCAGTTAATCTTTGACGTTAGAAGGAGTTTTTTTGGTGTCTCGCTCAACTGATCCCCACATATAATAATCAAGGGCGTTGCAGTCTGGGGAGTTAGGCGGCCAGATGTAAGGAGTAATCTGATCGCTGAAATTGTCTGGCAGCTATGACTGGGTCATCTTGCTTGTGTGGCATTGTGTAGAGTTCTATTGCCAGGCATGGGTTCTTCCAGCAGCAACCCCCATGACCCAGAGCAGCACTACCTCCTCAAGATACTTGATGTAGGCCTCAAATTGGGGAGTTCTTTTCTCATCAGAACGATCAGATTGAGTTTTCCGAGCTGCTGTAATTTCGTAATGATCATTAAATTCATCCAACTTTTTTTTGTATCATCTTCCCTGTCCTACGATTGACACCCAAAAGACTCTGAAATGTTCGTATTGGGAATTCCGGCGTGAATAGTAAGCAATACAGCATGCCGTTTCCAAATGTCTGACGTAGTGAATTTCGTCATGGTGCTCTTTTTCTCACTGAGAGTGCCCAACTTAGCCTATTACACTATGCAGTCAAAAAACAACGCGCATGCGCGAAATTAAAAAAAAAAACAAAAACGGCGACAATTTACCCTTCGCACCTTTCTCTCTCTCTGTCTGTCTGTCTCTCTCTCTATATATATATATGCGTGGGTGTGCATTTGTACAAATAGTTATCTCCCTTTTATATATAAATAAATTATATATATATATATATATATATATATATATGTATGATAAAATATATTTTTGATGTATGCTATATTTAGGGGATGAAGTCCTCGATATCAGGGATAAAGCGTATGTAAATATAAAAGTCGACATTGAAGTCATCACCAAGAGGTGACAGTCTGTTTCATGCTAAACGCAATCGTTATTTTTTTTATTATGAATACTAATTTTAAAAAGAAACCAACATAGAGAGAAATTCGTTAAATTTATTTATTTTATAAAGGATATTAAAAAAAATCGCTTTGTAAAATAAATCTTTTTTGTTGCTGATTGGTTATTTTGTTAAACGATTTTTTTTAGCGATAAAAAAATTGGGAGAAAGCAGACGATACTAAACATTACAGTCTCTTGGCGAAGAAGGCAGTGGATGTATTGATTATGACTTCGTGTTTCACTCACCTTGAGAGACTGGAAGGGAGTAGACTGAAATTGTTTTGGCACACATGTAAATGAGAAAAAAGGGTGAGTACCAAATTTATTTTTTTCTTAATAGTAGTTGAACAAGCTTTTATTTTTTCTGAGTAATTCCGAGGAAGAAAGAACGTCGTTTTGCGTTATTATTTTTGATATTGTGTTCTAAGTGACCATTTTTTTTAAAGTAAAGAAGAGATATAAACATATAAAATACTAAAAGAAATTTTCTTTTTGTTTTTTATTTATTTAAAAACATTTTGACCACGAACGAATGAGAGAGCATCAGTCGGAGAATTTTGAAGAGAGACGTGTTGCCAGATACATTTCGTAATATACAGACGCCTCTCCCTCATAACAGGCTTCTTCATGAGATAGTTTGAAAATGCCTAGCGAACAGACAAACAATTTATTCCCAGTAAGATACATTGAGGAGCGAAAGAAATTAACCCACTGCGTAAAAAATATAATTTTACTTAACTTTTCTTAAACGCTGTAAGTATTCGAAAATGTACTTTCAGGTGTAATATCTGTGGTGATTCAGGTCTTTGATGGTGTAGTATCTGTGGTCATTCAGGATGGTAATGCAAATTGTCGTATTCACGTAAACACATTACGAGGGGAGGTATAGATTTGTTGCATTGTGATACTGGAAATAAGGCATGTAAATGTGACGACGCACTTGGCACCGGTTCAATATTAACCCCTCCCAGATTAAGATGCGTATACAAATTACTCATGTTAAATATTCAGATACAGATTTCATAAAATCTGGAATTTGGGAAGTGTTTTAACAGATAATGAAAAATGCGAGACCGAAATCCAAGCACAAATTGGACGAGCAAAAGAGGCATTGTCAAGGCGAAGCAAAGCGCTGAAAAACAAAAATTCGTTAGTAACAAAGAGCACAGGATTGTTATTTAATATTCATCCTTTTATATGTCAGTGAAAGATGGACGGATCAGGAGAAAAATAGAGGCAACAGAAATGTAGATCTCCAGAAGGATATTGAGAATTCCATGAACGGAGTGTGTGAGTAAATAACGAATAAGTAAGAAAATGACAACAAAAAGAACACTTATACTCAGGAAGACAACTGATATTCCTTGGACGGATAATGAGGAAAGAGGCCTTTAAAAACTTAACCCTCACATGGCATATTGAGAACAATAGAGATAGGAGAGGGCACAAGCCTGACGAACTTGTGTGAATAGATGACGGAACGGCAGCGGGAACCTTAGCAAAAGAGAAAAATCTATTAATAGCCTCAAGGGATAGAAAGTTTTATTTCGTCCATGTCCTGAAGGGACGCGGCACATAGAAGAAAACGTTAAGTTCCAAAATGGGAATAGGTATTTTGGAGAAGAGAAAGAATATTAACGAAATGTCAAAAAAAAATGAGACGACATGAAAACGATAAGGAACTTGGAATATAAAGGCATGATGTCCCCATCACCCAGAAGCGACATGCTGATGTTAGGAGCGTTTTGATTATGAAAAGGATCGATGGACATTCGAAATCAGGCAAAAGAGATCAAAGAAATCTAGTGAGGTTATCAATATTCAAGCTAAAATCAATGGCTTGTCAATTAGTGGATGAAAGCAACATTTCTACTGATGTCTTAATTTATAGAATAAGAAGGATAGAACGTAACTTTACAAAAAACATTATTAACAAAAAACATCGGAGAAAGAAAGTCTGTTATGGGATAATGAAAAATGTACAAAAGTGATATATAGTGATGAAAGCTAAACAGAATTCTAATGCAAGAGAGTTTTTTCGAAGACTAACTGGAATAAGGAAAAACAAATTTACAACAAAATCAGTAAATTTATTTATTGGCGCTTTAATGGTATTAGGCTAGATCAAAAGTAATACTAAGACAAAATCAATAAAAAAATCGATGGAAAATTGTACAGTGAAAATATGTTACTTTGCTAAATTACCAAGTATAGCAGAAGGTGAAATATTCCACCATGATGGATCACCTGATTATATATTTTGTGTAACAATGAAATTTCTCACTTATTAAAGTGTTACAAAATTTTCTTGTCCCAAACCCTAAACGCAACATTGTCAAACCTTTGTAGGGAGAATTGAAAACTCTGGTGGATAACAGAAAGCCAAAAAACTTACAAAAGATTTGGATTTACTTGTAGAAGAGAAAACGACTTACCTCGTGTGGCAATGCGAGCACGTATATGCCTGGCGTGCAAAACGAGTGAAGGAAAAGAAAAGAAAAAGAAATATGGCCACCCTGACACCTTAATTTAAGAAAAACACGGTCTCGGAGCTTGGATAATTGGTAAGAGTAGTTGGGTATATATATATATATATATATATATATATATATATATATATATATATATTTGCGAGATCAGCTCGGCATAAAACCCACTACGCTAAAGCGAATAGGCAGAGAATTGGGAAGCGATTACTGGGGTCAGTTACACACAAAAAGAATGGCAGACCATTCATGATATAATAATTTTTAAGTTGTATTCTTTTATCTCACATCGAGATGCTCATAGTGCAATTTTTGCTGTTATCATTACATGTTTTTGCCAGAGCTCATATTGCAACTTTTGTTGTTATTATCGCTTTTCTTTGGCACTCCTTATTACTGGTTCCCATATTGTATTCATTTCTATGCTTGCAATATGAGCACTGGTAAAAATAGTTGTGGGACATTAGGTTTATAATACCCAGAAATTACTACACAGATGTCCACATGGCATAGTGGTTAAAGGCGTTGGTTAGATCCAGTCGCAAGACCCAAAGAGTGTGAGTTCAATACCCTGTTAAGACAGTTCGTGGAGAACTTTCAGAGGGAAATTAACAGGAGATAACTGATATCCATTAAACCTGGCACGTTGAACTAGCACAGTCTACCCCAGTGAGCGAAATAAAGGGTTCAATTCGTGTTCCAACCACCTGAAGAAGGCCGGAGCGTACAACGGCCGAAACGTTGTAATAAATATGGCGACAAAGATGAGGACAATAGTCCGAATAATGTAAAAACTTTTAGTAAAAATTAAGCAAATCGATTTTGGGGATTGATCTCACTTTTCTTCTGAACGCCAGTGTATAGAGATGTAATTATAAAATCAACGATATAATTATTTGCAATAGCTGTTGAGTTTGGGCGTTTATATGCGGTAGACGTTGTCATTAAAATGCAGTTTATATCTTGATAGACGATCTAAAAAGACGAGCGTTCATTGTAATTTATTCCCGTTGCTGCCAGTAATTGCTTAACATGCTTGCAACATATACGAATAATAATTAGAATATATTAATCCCTTAATGGTTTTGCCTTTATATATACGAGGTTGGAACACTAACACCCTAGTCTGACACATACTGAACAAGCTTCAGTATATGGGATTATTATATTCATCACTGGACTAAATGCATTAACAATGGGAAAAAAAACGATTTGAGAAATAAATATTTATTCGAAAATATCGTATATACTCGCGTATCATGCGACCTAATTTTGAAGCTAATTTGACTACAGTAAATGGATATATAGTTCGGTCAACGTATATATCTCGTGTATGATACGACCTCCTTAAAATTAGTTTCAAATGTATGTCTTCAAAAGTCGCATAATAAGAGAGTGTATATGGTAAATGTTTTTTTTAGGCTACAAACGTATTGATTCACTTACATACAGATACACAGACACACACACAAGCACGTAATCACACACACACACACACACACATACGTGTCTGTGTGTGTACTAGTTTCATTAAATACGATTGACAAGGTACTGCGGTTAATTTTTTTTATTTCATCTTTCTTGTGTTCTTATAATATTCTTTTTTTCTGAACATAAATTATCTAGAAATTTCCAAATGTTTCGGCTGTACTTTTAGCTATTATCAAGGATTATTTTATTTTTACTTCTAACTGAATGTATGGATAGATTTATGTATATTTTTAGAGTTAGAGGAATGTTTTATTTTCCAAACACGTTGTGACCGTATTCAAAATAGATATTATTGAGTGTTGCTTTTTTTTATTAATAATGCTTCCATTATTTTTAGTCAGTCTTACATGTGGGTGAGACTATAATATTTGTATTATCAACCAGAATGTTGCGTATTTAATGAAAATTGTATAAACTAGGGATTGCTGCCTATCTATATATATATATATATATATATATATATATATATATATATATATATATATATATATATATATATATATATACCGTATTTTCTTATACATAATACGACTTGAGTGTAATACGACTCCGGGTTTCAGAATTTAAATTAATACGTATACAAATTCTAATTAAATAAATTAGATCCTTGAGTACATTACGACTCTATTGCCATTCATATGTAATTTTTAAAGGTGTACGGTATTATGCATTAAAATCTTAATGTCGTACGCATAATTCCCTTAATGTTTCGCGATATTAAGGAATAGAAATAAACCATTATTCAGCCATTGTGTATTTCTCTTAATTTTCGTTTTCAAAACTTGTTGTTGTTCAAACCCGATAATACATTTTAAGGTATTAATTAATCTATCATATTTTTTCCGGCTGATATGACTATATTCTAGATATTGTATATTTCTATATATTAATAAACTATGAAAACAAAAATATTGTTTTTCATTATGAATGAAGAACGAAACAAATATTTTCGATATATCAAATACATTTGGTAAACAATTGTGATCAACACCTGCTATGTTTTATGTTTTATTATCTACCGTTCTGAGGGTATTAATAATCTTTTTTTTAAATATATTTTTTAAGCTTAGTAAACATTTCGAAAAACATGTCCTTGCGTATAACACGACGGCATTTTTTCGTCTTTAATTTCCGATCAAAATTTCTCGTATTATGCAAAAGGAATAACGGCACTATTTGTTCACAAAGATTTCAGAGTAAAATTGGGTAGATAAAAATGTCCATGGTTTTGCTGGTAAAACGTCAAGTCATCCTGACCGGGATTTGTATGTACTGGCCTTGTTCTTCTTCTAGCGGAAACAGCAACTAAGAACTTGCCCGTATATTTGCAGTATCAGCTACAAGTTGACTCTGTAGATGTCTGAGCATATGTCTACTGCAGGGGTTAGAATGCTAACCTACCTAAACATTATATATATGATAAGAATATAGTTTTACGATTTATCTGTTAAAGTGGCCAGTATCAGAGATAGAACTTAAGTAAATATAAAAGTGCACATTGAAGTCACCACACAGCGACGACAGTCTGTTTCAAGATTAACCGCAATCTTCACGGCATGCAATAGGTGTTGACTTCAATGTACACTATATATATATATATATATGTGTGTGTGTGTGTGTGTGTGTTACTGATTTTCTTGTGATAGGAATCT